TCATGTTTCCTATTATTATTATTATTCCTTCCTTTGTTTTGGGAATTATATGGCTTATTGACTAAACAGCATTAGAAAACTGAAGTTAATAGGCCAAACGCTTCCCTAGCGCAACTTTATTGAGTTCAAGTTATATAGAGATGAATGAGTTCAGGGACTCCTCCAAAGGCGGTGATTGCAGAGGCTGATTCCATAATAAAATGGAAGTCCACAGCTTTGCTGTCATTTCAATGGAAAATTTGCGAGAAGCCCAGTGCTTTTATTTTCAGCTGATGTGATGAAACCTGAGGGTACTGAGCATAAAAAGGTAAAATCATACCTCTCTTTACTGGATTAGAACAAATACTTTAATATTTTCAAGAATGTATTTAATAATAAACATGTTCATGTCTGCCTATTCCATGGAGCATTCTGGGTTGCATGGCCAACCAGAATGGGCATCTTCTCCACCAAATCACTATAAATGGCAACTGAGAGATCTGTTTATTGGCCGGTACATCTGACTCCTGGACCAAGGTGGGACTGTGAGGATCTGGCTCTTTTAAAACAGCAGAAATGCAGCAACAACCTGTATCAGGGTCAGAGAAAACAGATTCTTAGGGATGGGACGAAAAAAAGAAAGGGTTTCCTAACCAGGAGTGTTTTAGGGACAACCTTTTTGTGGTCTTAATGGAGCCAAAACCCTTTTTGCTTGTGAAATGGAACTTCCTGGGACAGACTGGAACACTTGTTGCTGGTAATAGTAAAAGACAGGACTGAATTATAAAGTTATGCCTGCAAGTTCTGGGTTTGTTTGAGCACAAGGTATGATGTTATTTTTTGACAGAAGGACAAGGAAACAAGGACTTGGAAAGTCTGTTCAGCAGTAGTGTCACCTAGTAAGAAAAGGCTTGACACACACTAGACAGTATACTGTGTGTTAGGAGCTAGGTCCTATCAAAACAAAGTGGGAATGCAGAAGGCAGATGACTTTTTTCTCAAAGAACTCTGAATCTAACAGTAATTAGTTATGCAAAAATACAAAATCAGCTGGGAAGTGAACCTTGTCAGGCAGAGCATTCCGTAAACCCAAGTTATTGCTGCTCTGAGATTTCAAACTCAGCTTTATGCATGACTCTTGTGTTATCTGGGTTAGAATCCACAGGGCCACACTTTTAAGAGCTCAGCTCTCTGCAGTGGTATGTTCTGCTGGCTGGTTAGACTTTGGACGTTTGCTCTCTGCTCTATACAGTATACATTTAAATGTTTTCTGAACACATTACAGGGACGGCTTTTGTTCCAAGGATAGAATAGTGAGAGGTGAAGGGAAGGGAAGAGGAGAGAAGGGCAGTTCTTTTCTTCTTTTCTTAAACCCAATTCTTACCCATTTTTAAAGGAAATATGGTAAGTACTGTGTTAACGACTTCTTCATTGTGGTTCTGAAAACCTGCCCATCACTGTGGTATCCATCCGAACAGCAGATACTCTCCAAAAATTATTACCATCTGACAGATGTACTAAGGGTTATGTATAGTTCTTACCTGTCTCAGTCTGGTTTCTGGTGGACAGGTGTCCACATTTGGAAACAAAGCAAGTCTGACTATACAGATACTTTCAGCCACTTTCAGTGGTATTGTCCCTCAATGAGAAAAGGCCTGGTATACACTAGACAGAAAATAGTGGTGTGTTTAGGAGCTAAGTCCTGTAATAGCAAAGCACAGTAGAAATGCAGAAGGGCAGGTGACTGTCAGCAACTTCCCTTAACCTCTTTACCAAGAACGTGGGACCTGGCTGAACATGTGAACTGATCAGTCCTCTTGCTTATTGTGGTAGACTCACTAGCAGATAATACATGGTGTATGAGGCAGCAATGCTGGTCTGTGGAAGATGGTATATATTTCTCAGAAGGATTGAGAGGTTACATATTTCTCTGTGACTATTGAATCACTATCGAATATGAACTGCAAGTGAAACTTTTGCTTCAGAACAAGAAAAATAGTTCCATTCCCTCCAAAGAGAATCGTGTCAGCAGCAAAGCTCTCTATTGCTCCCGCTGCTTTCTCAATGCTTCACCTCATCAGGCTTCTGGGACCTGACAAACTATCAGACTGAAAAGCAGAAATAGGATGGGGGCAATTTTAATGCATGAGCAAAGCAGTGAAGAGTGTCAATCTCACAGCTGCTATAGGTTCTCAGTGACAAGAATGGCTTAATATCAGTAAGTAACTAAATCTAGCTGTAGCTAGCCAGTTACTTACAGTCTTCAAGAGGAAAAAACAAATTTCTCTTTGTGTTCTAGTCTTCAGAAAGTTTGTAAATGCCGACGTGTTGAGTTAAATTGGTGTTTGAAGATCGAGCACTCAGGAAAATGTTAGGGCACTACAGGAACATGTGGTTGGGCTGTGTTGTGGACAGAGAGCAGGGCAGACTGTGAGGCAGTCAGGACAGCTCCATGGGGATGGGACATTAGCCCAAGAGTGGGAATTGACTCAGGAGAGCTCGCGGCTGGGCTGGGCAGGGCAGGGCTGTGGTGGAGCAGAAGACTGATACCTGTGGTGTTGTTGGGATGCGGAACACTCTGAAATGGGCTCCTGGGCCATAAGCAGGTAAAAACCTGTGAGGATGAAGGCCTTTTAGTCCCTCAGGTCCTTCTCTCAGTTTCACCCCAAGTCTAGAAAGGACAGATGCCCTCTTCCTGTTGGCACAATAAAGGTCAGAGTTTGTTTCACAGGGTACTTTGAGCATCAGCAATCTTGACACTCTGGTTCAAGGCCATGTTGGAAGGGGCTTGGAGCAACCTGGTCTAGTGGAAGGGGTCCCTGCTCATGGCAGTGGTTGGAACTGGATGAGCTTTAAGGTCCCTTCCAACCCAAACCATTCTATGATTTATGATCTTGTTCTTGCTACCACATACATGCAGTTGCCTGTACAGTGTGTGCTACTTTAGTCCTGGAATTCCTTATGAAATATACTCATTAGTTTCCTTAAAGAAAAAACCCAAGTAGATTTGCCAGAAAAGTTTGCTTATGGGTGTGCTGCAGATTGGCAATAGATGTGTCTTATTTAGCACCTAGCACTTGGAATAATCCTTCCCTACTTCAGCGGGCCAGAAACAACCACCACAACATGCCTTCATGCCATGCCCTAGATGTCACACTACAAAAACCTTCCTGTAGGCTGCAAAACAACGCTTACATATGAGGCACTTTGAGCTGGAAAACACACACAGAAATAAGAGTGTCTTTTGGCCATAAGAGTGGAACTCAGATATGAGCCAAGTATTATTTGCAGCAGCAGAGAGTTAAATGGGATAATGCCCTCATTCAGCTCTGCATCTGCTCTGTACTGAGTGGCCCTGCTCAGCTTTCGATGTATGGCACATTGTACAGACACTGCACCCATTTGGACATCCAACACCTCCAGCAGAATCTGTGTCAGTGGGGCAGGCAGTGATTCCCAGACATCTGCAGTATGTCCATCATTGTGTTTTCAAAGTACTTTAGGATCCTTCAAGGAGAAAAGTACTCTGTTTGTCTCCAGGGCAGGATTTGAGAATTTACAAAAGGTTATTCATATGGGAAAGTATTATAAAGCACCATTTTTGATTGAAATTGCATCTTTCTACAATTTTATTGTTAAAAATGTCTTTCTTAAAAATTTTTCTCCTCTTTTGCTTCACTGAGACATAATGTACTTTTTAATCAGACACACTGAAATCTGAGAAAGTTAGGAAATATACCACCTCAAAACTGTTTTAATGCCAGCTTCAGAGGTTTTGTTATCTTTTTTCCCTGTAGCTTTTCTTTGATAAACGAAGCTTGAATAATGACTTAAAAATTAATAGTGAAATCAATGGTGAGGCACTACTAATTCCAGAATTAAAAAGTAATCCAATTTTTCCTGAGAAATAATAATACCAAAACAGGTACACACATATGAAAGTACTATTTGTGCACACACACAGATATACATTGCTTAGCTCTAAAAGGGTGAGATTTGTCTCTTAAATTTTTACACTCTTATGTCTTACCTTTTCTCCATAGCCAAGATCAGCAACACATTTGTTTATCTTTGCTATGGAAAGCAGAGATTTTATGTAAAAAAATGGATTGGAACTAAACTACCGAATAAACAGAAGCCATCAAAAATTACGAGGCAGGCAATAAATGAACGTCAGAGCTGTAGGAATCGTAAATGTGATCAGAAAGTGACAAATGAAGACACAAAAGCTAGATAAAAGATAACATTTAAAAAGAATAAACTTTGAACATCATCTATGCAAAGGATCTTGTTCATTTAATTACATTTAAATTATGTTTTGCACTCATGACACATGCCAGCTTGGCACAGCTGGAAAGCAAAGGCTTTATTTTAGTGGTAAATGGTTTTGGGTCATGGTTTTCTGCAATTCCCTAGTTGTTTTGAGAAAAATGAAGACAAGACCTCCTGGTCACCTGAGGAGGTGAAATACTGAGGAGTATTTCATATATACTGGAAATACTGGAGCACCTGAGGAGGGGAAATACAGTGTTGAGATGAAATAGTCCTTTTCTTACAAAGGTGTTCCTCCCCATAGACACAGAAAGAGTGGAATAGTAATGAAATGTGCATTTTTGTCACTTAAAAGTACCTGCAATCCTTATTAATGCTTGAAAAACTAAGATGCTTTAAAATCGTAAGTTAATTACATTTATGTTGCACATTGCCTGTTCCAGGTATCGAGGCATCCTGTTCATATATTTTACAGTTGTTTTCTGCTAGGTGCTGTCGCCGGGCACTCCGGCGCTCGCTGCCTCAGGTTGGGACCGCTCTCCATCTTGCCATGCCCCCCAAGGGAGCAGCCATCTTGCGTACCGTACAGCTGGAGGCAGCCATGGCTGTACGAAAGAGCGGCGTGGGCGCAGCCATCTTGAGACCTCACTCTCAGCTGACCTGCTCCGGCGGCCATTTTGGTAAAGGATAGTTGCAGCATCCCGGCTCCTTCCTCCCTTAAGCAAAATGGCGGCGGCGGCGCATGCTCAGAGGGAGGTGGTGTTCCCTCCGGCGGGTTGTTGTGGTGGGGGCGGGGAGCGGCGGCAGCCATGGGAGAAGCCGAGAAGTTTTACTATGTGTACAGCTGCGACCTGGATATCAACGTACAGCTCAAGATGTGAGTGAGGGCGGACGGGGCTTGCAGTCACCCCTTGCTGAGCCGCGGGCGGCAGCGGATGTGTGGGAAGCGGCCCGGGTGCTGCCGGGCTGCGGGAGGCTGGGCCCGTTCCTCTGAGCTCCGCTGGGTCCCGAAGCCTGGCCGCGCCGTCTCCTGTCACCGGCATCCAGAGCTCCGCTGCGTGGAGCGGTGCTGTGGAGACAGGAGGCGGGAGGGGTGTCCGAGGGGCCAGGGCTGTAAGCTCCGCTCTGGCCGCTTTGCATTGGTCTTTGCATTAGATCCGGTAGTGCTTTAAGGCAAGGGTTGCCTGTCAGCTCAGCGCTGTCTCTGGTACCCTCACCAGCTGGCGCGGCAGCTCACCGATCAGCTTTAGAGGGAAGGGGTGCATTGGAGACTCCCTTTCCTGCTTGTTTGCCTCACCCGTCAGCGTTAGGGCAGAAGGATGCGCTGGTGACAGTTTCCTGCTTGTTTGCATGCTGCTTTGAAAGCAGGTTGCTTTTGTTTTTTTCCTTTGTAGGCAGATCTAGTGTGTTTCTCACCCCGTATGTGCAAACACTGTTGAAGCTATGATCACATGCAGTGTTTCGTAGAATCACAGGCTGGTTTGAGTTCGAAGGGACCTTAAAGTTCATCCAGTTCCAACACCTTCCACTACACCGGGTTGCTCAATGCCCTCTCCTTTCAGTGGTTCATTTTTGAAGTTAGGGCTTTTTCTGCATCACAGCAATTGGGTGTTTACATTTGTGTGGGAGGGACATGGCTGGCTGTAAATGTACTATACCCAGTGTAGTTACATTAAGGCATATTGCACTTTTGAAAGCTAACTTGGGAAAACTTACTCGGGGCTTGTTTAACTTCTGAATGGAAGATGATACCTGAATTCAGATGCCTGTGTCCTCTTTACTTATTCATTCTGCCAAACAAAAGTGTAGCTAGGACTTTGTGCATCAGAGTGAATGTCATCTTGGAATATGCTCTGATAGATTCTTGCAAGAAACTTGTTCATCTACTCTGAATGTTTTTGTGATACTAATAGATTTTTGTTTGCTGCTGGGAGATTGATGTTATCTATTGATAATAACTGTTATATAATTGATGTTATTACATATTTTTCCATCGCCACTACATTTCTTTTTTGTTTTCACATGTGCATCCACAGTCAGATATTACATATACATGATTGTTCTCATCATGGTATAGCTGAAGCCTGATAAATACCATGAGTGTGCTTTAACACTAGCATTTTGCATTGTTGCAGTGCTTTAATCAGGTTTGATTTGGACTGTCTGCTGAGCTTTAATTTGTTATTAAATTAAGAGATGACTGGCATCCAAAGCTATGCATTCACATTTCATAATGCTTAAAAAAAAAAGTCTTTTCTTAATTATGAGGTTTTTAGGGGGGATATTTTTTGTGTTTATTTATTTGTTTTTCTCCCAGTGGTATTTGGAGCACATGTAATCTGATGCTTGTTTTGATCTTAATAATAGCATCACATGCCATCTTGTTACTGCCTTACTTAAGATCCTTCATTTGATGCTTTCTGAGCATCTACAGGTTGTACTAGATAAGTTTATGCTCATTGAAAAGACAAACAACTAATTCTTCCCTTTCCTGCTCTTCCCCTTCATCTTCCTGCTGCCCTGCTAAATCACTATAGCAATAAATTCTGTATTCATCATTTCACATCCTGAGGTCCTCTCTGACATTTGGATTTTACTATGGGCTAGTAATGAACAGCAAGGGTAGCCTCAGTGCTGAGTATTCTAAACTTAAGCAAAGGAAATGGAATAAGCTTTTTACTGTATATAAGATAAATTATTGTTTCTTTCTTTTTCCTTCCTACTCCCACCCCAGAGGAAGTTTGGAAGGGAAAAGAGAACAGAAGAGTTACAAAGCTCTCTTAGAAGATCCAATGCTGAAGTTCTCGGGACTGTATCAAGAAACTTGCTCTGACTTGTATGTAACTTGTCAGGTGTTTGCAGAAGGGAAGCCTCTTGCTCTTCCAGTTAGAACTTCTTACAAGGCTTTTAGCACTAGGTGGAAGTAAGTGGCTGCCTTTCATTTCATATTTCTCTCAGTTACTGTGGCATCAAGTTATATAAATAGATACGCATGTTTTTTGTTTCTGTCAGAAAGATTAGTTTTCTGTTGTGTTCTGCAGACAGCTTAAGTTTCTTCAAGTCTTTGTATGGTTATTAAGTGTTACCGTGACAGCACAAAATAACCTTTTTTCGGTAACGGGTAAGTGATAGAACTGTAACTTGTGTGTTTGGGCATGGCTTACTTCTTAAATAACTTCTGAGGCCTGGACTGGCATATTTTCATACTGTTTACTGGACAGACTGATCTTTGGTACTTAGTCATCAAGCCAGAGTACTTTTTCTTTGGGCTCTAGACTTTAAATATTCTCTACCCTTAGAAATTCATATTCTAAGGAGAATCTGGGTTGTATAAACTTATAGATTAACCTGAATTCTAAAGCTTTATGATTAATCACAGATTGTTTCCATGCAGCTGGAATGAATGGCTGAAACTGCCGGTGAAGTACCCGGACTTGCCTCGCAATGCACAGGTGGCTCTGACCATCTGGGACGTGTATGGACCTGGTAAAGCAGTTCCTGTGGGAGGAACAACGGTCTCGCTCTTTGGGAAATATGGGTATACTGCTTTTTCTTTGGTACAGAGTTGAAGCTCACATGTAGTGAGGTAGCAGCGGCTACAAGAGGTTTGGTTTTTTTAAGCCAGGTTAACAGTTTCTCATTTGAAAAATTAGATACATAATTACTGTATTTCTTCATGAGTGTAGCTTCGTACGTGCTATAGTGTTGTAAAAATATTCTTCTCTTGCATAACACCAAAATTTAGGGTTTTTTTTTAAAGATGTGTAAGCTTGAATTTTTAAGTAGCAAATGCTGAAGTCACTTCATATTTGCACTTTTGTAACATAAGGGTACCAGTACTGATTACTTAACATAGTTGGCTTGCAATTGGGCTGTTAATGCAGCCAGGAATCTAGTTAAAGATTTATTTTAAAATTTATTATTTATTTATAAATTTATTTATAATTTTTATTTATAAGGAATAAAGAGTAACTCAGTAAATACGGAATTTTCAAAATTAATAATCCATTATCCTTTAGAGAGTGTGGGTTTAGTAAATTTGTGGATGACAACAGTAGGATGGGAAGGATTACAGGTGTGCTGAAAGGTGAACAATACACCAGAAGAATCTTGACTAAGTGCAGAGGGGACTGAAAAAAACACAGGATGCAATTTAAGGAAAAGTATGAGGTGCTGGTACTTTTTCCATCAAACACAGAGTAGGGAGCAGCTGCCCAAATAGAATAAAAGATTTGTGGTTCAGGATTCATCATCAATATAGTCATGGAGGGCTATGTCCTTTTCAGGAAAGACAGGCCAGCCAGGTGGGGTGGTGGGGTTGCTCTTTATGTGCGAGAGCAGCTACAATGCGTTGAGTTCTGTCCGGGGACAGATGATGAGCGAGTCGAGAGTCTGTGGGTGAGAATTAAGGGGCAGGCTGGCAGGGGCGATACTGTTGTGGGGGTCTGTTACAGGCCACCGGATCAGGGTGAGGAAGTTGACGAGGCCTTCTACAGGCAGCTGACAGCGGCCTCACAGTCACAGGCCGTGGTCGTCGTGGGGGATTTTAACTTCCCTGATGTTTGCTGGAAGGACTACTCGGCAACCCAGCCGCAGTCCAGGAGGTTCCTCCAGCGTATGGATGATAACTTCCTCATGCAAATGGTGGATGAGCCAACCAGGAGAGGTGCGCTGCTGGATCTCATCCTCACTAACAAGGAGGGTCTGGTTGAAGGAGTGAAGGTTGAGGGCTGCCTTGGTTGCAGCGACCACGAGATGGTAGAATTCAGGATCTTGTGTGGTAGGGTCAGTAGAATAGCAAGTAGAATCGCAACCCTGGACTTTAGCAGGGCAAACTTTGGCCTCTTCAAGCGATTGCTAGGGGAAATCCAGTGGGCTAGACTTCTTGAAGGGAAAGGGGCCCAAGATAGTTGGTTGACGTTCAAGGACTGCTTTTTCCGAGCTCAAGATCGGAGCATCCCGACACGTAGGAAGTCGAGGAAGAGGGTCAGGAGACCTGCGTGGTTAAATAGGGAATTGCTCGGTATGCTCAAGTGGAAGAGGAGAGTTTACAGGTCATGGAAAGAAGGGCTGGCCACTTGGGAAGAATATAAGGCTGCTGCTAGAGGATGTAGGAAAGCTGCTAGGATGGCTAAGGCCTCCTTGGAATTAAAGCTGGCGAGAGGGGTCAAGGACAGCAGAAAGAGCTTTTTCAAATACATGGCAGGTAAAACTAACACCAGAGGCAATGTAGGCCCGCTGATGAACGGGACGGGTGCCCTGGTGACAGAAGATACAGAGATGGCAGAGTTACTGAATGACTTCACCCCAGGTTCCAGTATAGGCTGGGGAACAACCTGTTAGAGAGCAGTGTAGGGGAGAGGGACCTGGGGGTACTGGTGGACGACAGGGTGACCATGAGCCGACACTGTGCCCTTGTGGCCAAGAAGGCCAATGGCATCCTGGGTTGTATTAGAAGGGGGGTGGTTAGTAGGTCGAGAGAGGTCCTCCTTCCCCTCTACTCTGCCCTGGTGAGACCTCATCTGGAATATTGTGTCCAGTTCTGGGCCCCTCAGTTTAAAAAGGACAGGGACCTGCTGGAGAGAGTCCAGCGCAGGGCAGCTAAGATGATTAAGGGAGTGGAGCATCTCCCTTATGAGGAAAGACTGAGGGAGCTGGGTCTCTATAGTTTGGAGAAGAGGAGATTGAGGGGTGACCTTATTAGTGTATATAAATATATAAAGGGGGAGTGTCACGAGGATGGAGCCAGGCTCTTCTCAGTGGCAAACAATGAAAGGACAAGGGGTAATGGGTACAAATTGGAGCACAAGAGGTTTCACTTAAACCTGAGAAGAAACTTCTTCTCAGTGAGGGTGACGGAACACTGGAACAGGCTGCCCAGGGAGGTTGTGGAATCTCCTTCTTTGGAGACATTCAAAACCCGCCTGGACACGTTCCTGTGTAACCTTATCTAGGTGTTCCTGCTCCGGCAGGGGGATTGGACTAGATGATCTTTTGAGGTCCCTTCCAATCTCTAACCTACTGTGATACTGTGATACTGTGATACTGTGATAATGCTCTTGTGAAATGTGCAAACAATGTTAAATATATGAACACTTCACAAGTGTGCACATTCAGGGGCAGTGTTTCATACTCCTCCATACTCATCTGCTCGTCTGGCATACATTCAGTTCTGTATAATTGACTTTAAGCAAGTTGCTGACTGCTGAGAGTCATTAAATGTTTAGCAAATAGGTGTGATGGAGAAGTAAAGACTGGTGAGGATGAAGAAGAGACTGTAACAACACTTTTCTGGTGTGCAGGTAGTGTTGGAAAACGGAGAGAAATAATTTTTTTTGTGTTGTCAGTGGATAAGAAGCAGTAAGGGTAAACTGAAGTGCAGGAAAAGTTTAGATTAGCATTAGGAAAGCCGTTCTAGTGATATTCAAACGCAGAAAGTGACTCTAGAAAGAGGTTGTATCTCTGTGCTTTGACAAAAAGCTTAGCATTGTCTTTGGGCAGAAAATTAAACTTGATCGATTGTACTGTCACCCAAAGACTACTTATAGCTTCTTAAACATTAGAGCATATTTCCTGGAAAAAGATAAAAATTGTGAATGAAATTTACCTTTACTTCCAGCATGTGAGCCCTGGGGATAGTAGATGGACAAGAAGCACCGAATAATTCTGGAATTTTATATTTGCTTGTGAATGGAAATCTTTGTAGTAGTATTCCATAAAGCAATATGTAAAGTCAAGGTCAGATGGTCTTTCTGGTTGATATTTCTCTTTTTTAATGGTTGACTTTTTAAAGTTGTATTTACCTGAAGTTGTTAGGTAGACAACTTCCAGTTGTTCTTACCTGAAGTTGTTAGAGTGAAGTGATCCACTTGGTTTTGTGAAGCACCTTTTAAGGTGAATCAGCACAAATAAATAAGGAAAGGAGGGTTTTGCAGAGAGAAGACGTGGTCAGCTACTCTACAAAGTTCCGTTCACTGCACAGTTTCAATTACCAACTCAATTTCAAGCACAGGTGGAGAAAAATGGTGGTTTGAGTGTTGTGGGGGTTTTTTTGTGTGTTTTTTTTCTTTTTTAATTTTTGAATTTTGTTTTTATTTGGCAGCTCAGAAGTCTCTTTTATAGCAGTCAACCTTCAAGTGAAACTTAGGTAGCTTTTTTGTTGAAATTTTTTGCAGACTGGCAGACCTAAAGTCAGTATTATAATTTGCAAGTCAAGAGAAATACTTTCTGCTTCATTACAAATAATAAAACTATGAAGGTCAAGCTCTGTCTTCAGTTTGCATTTATACCACTCCACTGGCTTCTGGAATTACCCATTTTTCTTCCACTTGCCAAATAACTTGGTTCAGACTTACTAATTTTCTTTTAAACTTCGTGCCAATAAAACTGAAGGCCATAGAGGGCACAAGGAGCAAGGCACTTTAGCAGTTCATTTAAATTATGCATGGCAGTGCGTGTTTCTAGGCTTGGCAAATGAAGTTACTTCATTTTCTTGCAGCTGCTGCTGTACTTTTGATTCCTGACAGGTGTGTTATTTTGAATGTACTGAAGATATTCTGCTTTTTTGCCCCTGCAGTATGTTTCGTCAGGGAATGCATGATTTGAAAGTCTGGCCCAATGTAGAAGCTGATGGCTCAGAGCCCACCAAAACTCCTGGGAGAACCAGCAGCACAGTCTCTGAAGATCAGATGAGCCGCTTGGCTAAGGTAATGGTATAGCAAATAAACTTTATGTTGTATGTGAAAAGCTTGCACTTTCAATAGAGTGGAATGTATACAGGCCTCTCATGTTGTTTTCTCATGTGAAAGCTATCTTCCTTTGATTAGATACTTCACAGGATTTATAAAAGTGAGTAAGCTATATCATGCTCATTGACTTTTGCAGTATTTTTTTTAAAGGGAACATATAAATACCTTTTCATATAAGTAGCATTCTGTTGTAACAACTTAACATCCTAATTCTTTGTAAAATGAAACTCTGATAATGCGTTGAAGATGCTGGAAGCCAAAATTCCATCAGGTTCGGTAAGAGCAGCGCATACCAATAGCTTGTGAGGACTAGTTTCTTTCAATAGCCCTTATTTAGATTTAAGGCTCTCTAGTGTAGTGTTCAGATGTGTATGACATTAGAAAGATACCTCTGCATTAGAAAGAATTTGAGTAAAATTGCAGAAATTAACCAAAGCTTAATTTATTTAAGTTTATCAGTACATGTGTGTATTAGGATTTTCTTCTCCCAGCTTGATGGCAAGAGTGTATTTTTGCCATCAGAACTACTGCAGTTGATCAGTGGATGTGAGTTCTTGAACTGTTTTACTCACTGAATTCTCTCATTCTTCAAGTAAGCTTACTCTGAGCTTTCCAAATCACTCTATAATAATTGTTAACCCACTTAGTGTACTTTGTACTCGATCTTGGCCTCCTAGTTTCCATCTTTGTGCAACTCCTAGTGAAAAATAAGTCCAGGGACTTAAATATGTCCATTTTCTTATGTAGATGTTTATCACAGTAATAAACTAACTTTCATTTAAGTTCTAGTTCACCTTGAATTTATAATGGAAAGCTTATTTAAAGCTTTCTGCTAGTTGTGGTGCCTCATTTCTTGATAGAAACAGAATAAATCCCCTCTATCCTAAGGAAACACTGTAGACAGGCACTAAATACCAAGGCTTGTTTATAGGTCATCACACAGTTACATGATGTAGGCAGTAGGTTTCCAAGAAGGGATTTTAGAGTGTAGGCCTCCCATTTCGTGTTTGTGCTGTTACGCAAATGTGACCATACCGTACCAGTGTTGCTTTTCTCCTCTTCCCTTCATTCCCTTATGTTTCCTAGCTCAAGTAATACCAATAATGCAGAGTATTTCAGTCATAAAATACCTTGATCTGTTCTAGCCTCTTCTTTTGGCATATGGGAGGTGAAGGCTAAAACCCTCTGAGGAACAGGAGGGAATTCTTTCATATCCCAACTGAGAATTCTAGCTAATGGCTCATAACATCACTGCTCGCATTCGTCTCCTCTGAAAGCTGTTTTTGGGAGATTCTAATTTTTGAAAAATGAGGGTATTTTCAGTGGTATTTTGTTGTATTCTTATATAAAATCATTTTGCTGTCTATTGGTAGCAAAGTGAATAGGGTCTGTGGGCAGTGTGTCTGTGAGAGCTTTCATTTGCACAGCTGTTTACTCAACAGATGAAGTTCTTGTGATGTAGCATTCTTAAGTAGCCTTTATTTAAGCACAGTCAGCTTCAGTTTTTCTAAGGCTTAGCAATTACTGAATACCTTCTGATGTTACTGTGTGATAGTATATTTAAATATAGGTAAAAGGAGTAGGTCTAATTAAAACAAGATGAGTTTGAGTGGGCTTTGTTATTCTTGGGTGTTTTGGGGGTTGTTTTTTTCTTTCCTGTTTATTGGACAGGCATCATTTAGAAGTGTCGTGCATTTGATCGATGTCTAATACCAGAGGCCAAATTAGATTCTTGTGGATAATAAGTAACTTCTGACAAGAGCTTGATGAGGGACCTTTTCTCCATCTGAAAGTTCTTTTTATTCTCTTGGCATACTTCTGAATTTTTGTGTTTGTGATACTTCTTATTATAAATAATTTGCATAAAATCAGTGACTGGCTGTGGGAGGAGTTTCATACTTTTACCTGAATAATTGGTGCTGTGGCAAGTCATGTTGAGGTGCCATATGGTTCTGGTCTTCCAAAACGTGTGATAGTTGCTTGTAAAATTGCTGCTGAAAAAGCCATGGCTTTGTATACTGGAGGTCATTTTTCCTGTACTAAGGTATATTAATGGAAAGAGTGGGGAATACACAAGCACGCTCAAATATTAATAACATTAAGGTGTTTCTCCCATGAGTGATGTGGTAATCTACTTAAATAAAAAATACTCTTCTTTTTGTTCCATTCGCTTCTTCACACCTTCTGCTGGCTAGATAATATTAGGTAATAGCAATGGTGAGATAGTATCTAAAGGGATACCTTTTACTGAGTAGCAGATGATGAATTCTTCTTTCCCTGAAGGGAGTGCACTAGCATCTTTCTTATTTTGAGCTTAAATATTAATCAATCTTTTTTTATGGGTCTCGTATGGAGGCCTTATAAGTTGCAGTATTATGATACTTTTCCTCTCTGTAAGGGAGATTTGCAGGCTTAAGAGGTTAATATTTTCCTCTAAAGCATACAAAATTACTTTTATCTTTGTTCTTTAGTGCAGCAAACAGGAAAATGAACAGAGTTGTGACCATTTTTCCCAAGGCTTTGATAAGTGCTATCCTAAATTTCTGTGTCAATGCTGGATGTGAATATATAGTATTCTGTAGAATATAGAATTCTGCATTAGAATGTAGAAGTAGTATTCTGAAAACTTTGGTCCACAGGTTTAAAGTGCTGGAAATAAAGAGGGCTGTCTTCAGTAGGAAAAAGTATTTTCATTAACTAAAAAAAAGAGTAGGGAGTAATTTAGAAATGGCTGAAATGACATGTAAAGGTAAGTAATTCCTTCATTACTGAGAATAAGAAGATCTTTTCTGTGAAGTAGGTAGGATGTTTGTGAATGTGTTGCATACAACTGGTCTGCATGCTGCTGTTTCTCTACCATGGAAATGCATTTTAGTAACATATGAGGCAAAGGCCAAGTCTTGCCTTATGCTTTTAGTTCAGTCCTGGCACATTCTGTCTGAAATACTGCTGATAGAACTTGTTGAACTGGCTGCAGAATATAACATAAGAGAGCAAAAAAATTGGCATCGTATTATGTTCCTGTTTACAATGCTGCTGATAAGTTGAAACAAGCCAAAGATTGAGTTTGTGTGCTTTGGTTACATCCAGCATCCTGAATTGTTATTAAGGATTATGCTTTGTCACCTCTGCCCTCCCTTTCCCTTTTGTCCTGTTTAGTTTATGAAATTTATAGCAGCTCAGATTAGCTGTCCGAGCTTACTGGAGAGAAAAGAAATGAGAAAAGCTCCTGCTGTATACTGAACAGCGTTAATTCTTAGAAGCTTCAGTGGTCTTCCGAAGTTTGCATCAAAATCTTATTACTTCTGCCAAACTATACTATGGTCTACAGCTTAAAGAAATGCTATGTGAATCAGCTGCTTTAGGCAAACATCCTCATAATCCTCATGGGATTGCGTTTTGCGTTTCATGGAATGAGGTCAGAACAGAAGGTATCACATGCTCATGCCTAATTTACTGTTTAGTGCTTCTTGAAATGGCCAGTTTCTAGCAAATCTTTAGTTTAAAAACAACAAACCAGGATTTTCCTCTGAGCTGACTTTGGCTTGGTTTTCCTTCCCAGCAGCTTTGACTGCTTTATATATTGTGACTGCTTTTGATTAGTACTTTACTTTTACTTGAGGATTAATAGTGGAAAATTTTAAACCTCATCTCTGGTAGGAACCAACTTAGTAGGAACCAGGAATCAGAAAAGATTGATTAGGTAACATATTTGTGGAATGAGCAAGTACTGGTACTGGTTGTCTTGCTTGTTTTCATGAGTAATAAGCCTTAAAATTTAATTCAGATCTTGGGTGGGTACAGAGGCCATAGTGTGGGCTGTAGTTTATTCCACCTTCTTTTTATCTAAACTGGTTGCAAGGAAACTAATTGGGAGTTTTGTTTCCTGTGTGAAGGTAGGAACCAGTATCCAAAGCGCTGATAGATCATAAATCCAAATTAAACTCTGGGGAGGTGAATGAAAGTGGAAAAACCCACAAACATTACAGTGAACTTGTCTTAAACACCAAGAAGTACGGGAAGTGAACTAGCAAGATGGCCTTGATATGTTGAATATGAAGGGGCAAGTGATCAAGGATAAATGCTTACCATCAGTTCAACTGATACAAGAACACTTGCAGACAGACTGCAGAACACTGAAATTTCATTTCATTAGTGGTTCTAATTGCTATTTACAGTCTTTTAAAGACTAGACAATTTTTTGTCTGTTGTGTCATCATTTCTTCTAAGGGTTGTAAAAAACTGTCTGATTCTGGAATGTTTCTGAAGCTTGCCTTGTCAGTTTATCAGGATCTGTACCTGAACATGAAGCTGATGGTTTTTGCAGAGAACGTCGTGATGGGGCTAGTATTTGGCCTAGGTCATCCTTGGTGTTTGTTAATACTTGTGCCTGTACTGCTAAGACATCAGTTTACTGGGGATTTGATTGATAATAATTGGTGAAAACTCCTAACCTTTTTTCTTTATTCACAGTTATGTTTTTATCTGTATTGCTGAGCTGCTAAAAAGTGTAGTGCAGGTTTCTGACAAACAGCACAACCTAGACAACTCCCAGCATATGGCAACTCTTAAATCTTCTCTATTTTGGTAGTAGCCTCATCTGCAGGTCTGAATGGAAGAAGTAGGCTGCTGTTGTGCTCTCTTGCATACAATACCTTCTATTTATGTGCTCTCCTAGGTCTCTTTTTATATTGCCTGTCCCCTTGCTGGGCAGCTGGAACATGACAGTCAGTATGACCGTTCACATTTAAATGCTTATGGGTGGGCAAGTTGTTCACTGGTGAAACTTACTTGTAACCCTTCCCTTAACAGGAATAGTTTTGAGGGACTTCTCACTGGACATTTTCTAGACGGGTTTCGATTTCTTTGAAACATGTAAAAACTAGATGTTTTCTGATTCCTTTTGCATCTCGCATACTGCAGGAATTACTCATGCTTTGGGGAACCCCTGTGATTTCTTAGGAACTGAAAAGATGATTGTTGTTTGTATTTGTGTAGACTTCTACTGAGTTTATGGAAAACTATTGTGTGCAAATGCATCTGAAACAACAGGCAGTACGGCTGCTATCTTTACTTTTTTTCTGTTATCTCGTCCTCATAACTCTTCTACTGCTAGGTAGTCCTTTAAACAGTCCAACTTCTTTGCTATTTTTACATCAGTGTGTAGATGTAGGAATAAATCTTGAACTACTTTTCAGATGACTAAAATGAAATGGGGAACAGGTTCTCTATGACTTGCTTTAAGTCTTCAGCTGACCTTTTGTAATGTGTAACTCCCAATCTGAAAACTTGTTTAGAGGTAAGGCTAATGGGCAGAATGACACAATTTGCCTATTTTTTTAAATATTTTTTTTTTTAATTGTTTGGCTTTGTAAGTTTTACTGTGTCAAATATGGTAACAAAAAATTAAATATGTTACTTTGCTTAAAAAACAGGTTTCTGTTTTAGTGTGTTCAGAATGCAAAGGTGGTGTGTTTGGAGTGGGATTTGGTCATTGCCATGATTGGTGTTTTAGATAGTAGAATTATTTTCATGGCACAGCTTAGCCATTTATAGCGACCTGCTGTGTGTCCCCTGTACAAGCATTTTTTCCAATTCCTTTATTTTTTCCCCTTCGTTTATTTCCCCCCTTGGTTTCATGTTAGTGTCCCTGTTAAATTATAATTTTTATGCTCTGTTTTTTTCCTTGCTCTGAGCCATTTAATTGTGTTTTTCATGCAGCTCACCAAGTCCCATCGGCAAGGTCACATGGTGAAAGTAGACTGGTTGGACAGACTGACCTTTAGAGAAATAGAAATGATTAATGAGGTAGGTACATCAAATTCTTTGATCTTGCTGGTACGAAATCTTTGCTTAGGAGACTGAACCTGAAGTGCTTTTCCTGCTTTTCTTCAACTGTCTGTATACGATAAAGGAAAATAATTCTTTTAAACTTCTAAAGTTGATTTTACTTGGGCAGTAATGAGAACTGTAGAATCATAGAATGGTTTGTGTTGGAAGACACCTGCAAAGCTCAACTAGTTCAAACCCCCAGCACTAAGCAGGGACATCGTCAACTAGATCAGGTTGCTTAGAGCTACAGTTTGATTGTTCTTTGGTTGTTTTTTGGTTGTTTTTTTTTTTTTTTTTTTAATATTCATTCAAGACCTGAATGAGGTGTTAACCCTCATTAGGCAAAATCACCCCCTAAACATTTAACTAATTATACTCATCTTGCACAACAGAACTCTGTTTTCTGCTTTGCGCTCTTGAGATTCACTTGCCTCATTTATAATTAGACTTCTGGGAATCAGATTATTTTTTAACTTAAATTTTTATAAACCCTCAGAACTCAGCCTTTTTGTTTGTTTGTTTTTTTACCTCTTCCATTTTTATTTCCTTTTTTCTCCCCTTCTGTTCAGAAAACTAAAAATTACTGATTCCTAGTGCTGTATCTGAAATGCAGAACCACTTTGTGCTGGAAAGTCAGTCCATTGTTAATGCACAAAACAAACTTGATTTGCTAAATATTAAAGGAAATTTTGTTTTCATTGCTAATCATACATTCCTGGTGGTGGTTATGTATAACTTCTTTCTTGTTTTGCACCTAAAATTTAAAATTCTGAGCCCTTTTTCTAGGCAAAGGGTTTCAAAAACGCATACATTGTCAAATCTTCCTCTGAAAGTGAATGAGTTGCAAATCTAATCTTCTAACACAAGTTTAATTTGTCTCTTTCATGGTGGTGTTAGCTAAAAAAGTTCTGGTATTTTGTCTTCCGGTTTTTGACCCTTATACGCATAATTGTGTGTAATGATTTTTTTAAATCACACGCAAAACTCCCAGCTGTCATCTGGTTATTCTTCATTGCCTTTTTTCAAACCTTCTGTCTACAGCCACAAGTTGGTGATGAAAACAACATGGTTTTATCTGTTACATACGGATATTTATCATGAAGTAGAAATATAAGGAAGTAAGAATGTCAGGAAGAAGGTGAGGTGGTCTGAACAGTAGCAGTTATTCAACAACTGATAATCTAATTAATCAGTTATAGCACAAAGGACGCAGTTTAATTGCTGTGCTGAGGACACTGAAGATTGATGCACTTTAATACATGATACACACCTGTGTTGGTTCTCTTCTCAGAGGGAAAAGCGAAGTTCTAATTTTATGTACCTGATGATTGAATTCCGTTGCGTCAAGTGTGATGATAAAGAATATGGAATAGTTTACTACGAAAAGGTATGCGCCCTGCAGGCTTTATAGTCGTCTTTAAAAAGCAGCATATGCACCTAAAATGGATGGGTTTTTCTGCTGAGGTGAAATATTCCTGTGCAGGATAGTGGCAGACAGCTGTCACTGGCAACTGTTTGTGTGCATACAAATCAAATAGTATAGATGTAACAAGACTGCAGAAGTGAATCATTCATGTAATACAGTTCAAGATCACAGAATTTAATAAGTGTGAGTGATTAAAAACTTTTTGATTTATGGCTCTTTCGGTCACCCAGCAGTACTTTTGGAGTAGCTGTACGTAAAATTATGTCTTATATCAGGAAGAAATGCACATGTATTGATTGGTAACTTTATAAAAGATAAGTTATTAAAACTTTGCACAGGAGCTGTGCTTGTGAACATTTGCTCTAAAATGAACATATTTAAAAGTTTAGCCTTTCATGCTGAAAATGCTTTGGAAGTAAAGTAAAAGACTCTATTGTAATGTCTTGCATTTTCCTGTTAACAAAACAAATCTCCAAAGCAGTGCCTTCATTGGTTTTTATGAGTTCAGCTTTAATGGAATGAAGGATTAACACTGAGTTTAACAGACATCAGTGTGGCATTACTGGTACTTTTATGGACCTGTGTATTGTGGAAAGATCCACTGAAATAGAAGAAGCTGTAAATACGTAGTCTGGTTAAAAAAAAAAAAAAATGGCAGTGATTGTTTTTAAAAAATTCAGCATGTATTGATTCATAAGAATTCAGAAAGTGCAACTTTATGGGAAAGAGAACGTAGAAAAAGAGACTGGAGACCTGTTGAGGTCAGAGGCACTAACTTTTAAGAGGCATCCATTTTGAGACTGTTAAAAAATCTCAGTACCATTATATTAATGCAACAGAAGATGGATTACAGTTATTACTATGTATGTGACAACACTGACAGTTGATCTGGACAAAAGAACACTGATTTAACTGAAGCTTCTTTATGAATGTACTGAAAATATAAATGCAAATTTGTAATAAATGCAAAAAACAGGATTCTGCAGAAAGCAGAATTCCACAAAAAGTTCTGAGAAGGCAGAGAGCAGAATCTGCCTCAGCTGTTTGATCCGTTCTTGCATTTTAAAGCTTGTGAATGTTTGAAAAAAGAACTGTTTAAATGCTGTTAATCTAGCTTTTTGAATTAATGTGTCACTGAACAACAGTAATCTTAGAACTTATTTTAACAGAGATGCCACGATAAAAGAAACCGTTAAGGTTGTTTTTCAGATTGCCGTAACTCATAATGAAAATGAGTGGCTGTTTGAGATATTTTCCAGGCCCTTGTAAGAGCTGTGTCTTGCAGACATGATATAAAAATAATGCATGTGGACATCCACACTCCATCCATGTGGCCCTTATAGTGGTAGCTGCAATTCTAATGCTACTGGAGGAAGTAGTAGTTCCACGTGGCACTTGGTGTCTCCTCTCACAATGTGAGGCAAATGTACCCGGTGTGTTTTGGGGGGGGGGGAGGAGTATCATGTAAGTGTGCTTCTGTTTTGACTTGGGGTTTTTTCATTCACTGGAGTGGGGGGTGGGTCATTGATGTTTTGGTTTTTCTTTTGGGGGAGGGGTTGGTTTGGGTCTCTCTTTTTTTTTTTTTTAAGTTTGATGTGGGGTTGTTTTTTCCTGGATACTGGAAATTTGGGTGAAAATGTGCCTTAGGGGGATGTCTAGGTTAACTTGAGCCTTTTTTTATGTTGACTGTAGTTGACAATGAGACCTCTCCCCACCTTTCCAAGTCTTTGTTTTTAGGATAGTTTCTTAGTGCTTCCAGACACTTCCAGAACCAGCTATTGTGGAGGACATTGCTATTACAGAGCTTGTGTTACAAATCATAATGAAGCCTGCAATGTGTCAGGTTCCTCCATGAAACAAAATAAAGTTGTTTACTTCTGTGGAAATCAGGGAAATATGTGCCTGGAGAGTATAATAGAATATGGTCAAAATATCAAACCACTTTACTGACCCCTAGCTTTTTACATTAGAAGGTGCTGAGCTTCTGACAGGCGCAGACTCATAAGTGTGGCTAGTGAGGGGCTTTATGTTATATTGGCTCTTTTATAGTTGAATGGGACAATCCTGAAAATGATCTCTCTCCCTTGCCTTTAGAAACATACCATTATAGATGAATTATTCCTGATTTACACATGCAACTTCTTTTGTTATCATTATGATTTTGCAGACGTGGAAGGTGTAGGAAAGAAGATTCCGACTTCAGGCATGCATCTTTCTTTCAAGAGATGCTTCTGAAGCATATTAGAAGTGTGTGGAAGAAAATAACCGTGAATTGGCTGCTCTTGTGGAAATAAAGTCATTGAATGTGCAATAGCAGATGTTAAAGCTATAACTAACTGCAGTTTGAGGGATTTGTTGTTATGAAGTAGCTTTTCAGCAAGTTCTTGACCCTTTTCTGGCAGCAGTAGCAAATGGTACATAAATTAGTGCCTATCTTCTCAGTTTTGTCATGCTTCAATTACATATCTGGCATCACCAATCCAGTATATTGAGCCTAATGAAAGCAGGTTCTGTTGTCACCTGCCTGTGACCGATAGTCGAAGTGGAGATTACTTGTCACAGTTTTGTTGATAAATTTGTTTTCAAGTGTTTATGAAGAACGAGCCTGTTAAACAGTGGCTGATAGAATTTGAGATTCTTTGGCTCCACATTCAATTACAATGAAGTGAAGTGGCAATGGCTCTTTCCATGTTCTCTGTTAACTTAATTTTAATGCAGCATTCAAGACGTGAAGGATAGCACTCTGCTAGTGTTGAGAACATTGCTTCTAATGCTCCATTTAGACAAAAACCAGTGTGATTTTCCAAGTGCAAATAACACCCGCATTTATCAATAATGTGATTTTGTGCAGATTTCAAGGGAAACCTTTGTTTGAATAAATATATTGATTGCACTGCAAGTTTATTTAAAAAGTTGGTAGTCTAATTATTGGAGTCTTTTTTTTCATGGCTTAAAAGAAAATGTAATGTCTGCAGCATTGGGTGTTCATTTACTTTTTCTGGGGAAGGAGTTGGATACTGTTTGCATTACCTGAAACGGTATTTTGACTAAAGAATAAGATAAATAGAACCTCCTTGTTAACTGATATTCTGAAAATGATTTTCATCTTACTGGTTCAGGAATTTTTTCTGAATTTCTTAAATGGACTATATTATTGGTATAAGTCACACACACTGGTCGTAATGTGGTGAGATACCGCTACAGGTCTGTGACATAGTACTTTAAACCCAGTTAATGCTGGTTAGTATGGATGTTGTTTCCCAGTTTCCCAGTGACAAAACCACATCTGAAATTACTGCTGTGTTAGCAAGTAGTGCAGCCAAGAGGAGCAGATACACAGAAGGAAAAGGTTGCTGAAGGCCCTCTAGCTTGGGACCAGCTTTAGTCAGTTCACACCCAGCCACACTTACAGAGTGGGCAGAGAAGAGATTCAGAGCAGGCTTGAGGAGAAGGACTTGGGGGTGTTGGTTGATGAAAAAATGAACATGAGCCGGCTTCAGTGTGCGCTCGCAGCCCAGAAAGCCAACCGTATTCTGGGCTGCATCAAAAGGAGCGTGACCAGCAGGTCGAAGGAGGTGATCCTACCCCTCTACTCTGCTCTCGTGAGACCTCACTTGGAGTATTGTTTGCAGTCCTCAACATAAAAAGGGCATGGAACTGTTGGAACAAGTCCAGAGGAGGACCACAAAGATGATCAGGGGACTGGAGCACCTCCCATGTGAAGATAGGCTGAGAAAGTTGGGGCTGTTCAGCCTGGAGAAAAGAAGGCTGAGTGGAGACCTCATAGCAGCCTTCCAGTACCTGAAGGGGGCCTATAGGGATGTTGGAGAGGGACTATTCCCTAGGGACTGTAGTGATAGGACAAGGTGTAATGGGTTCAAACTTACTGAAGTTTGAATGGTGTTCAAGGCCAGGTTGGATGGAGCCTTGGGTGACATGGTTTAGTGGGAGGTGTCCCTGCGCATGGCAGGGGGGTTGGAACTAGATGGTCTTGAGGTCCTTTCCAACCCTAACTATTCTATGATTCTAAGTCCCATTTGCTGAATAACTGTTAGCAGTTGGAGGTTATTACATATTTCTAAAACTTCTGTGATGTGAACTAAAACTTACTGCATGGTGAGACACTTCAGGATCAGGAGAGACACTTCAACAGCACACAGTTGATCAAATTCAAATGCTAATTTAGAGTTGATGCTCAGGCATTGATATGAGTTAGTAAGTTTGTATGGTCATGGTCACAGTGGTCCATATCATGATCTCCCAAGTATGACAGAGAATTAGAGCTGCATATTAATCTAATTGGAAGGGAAGTTAAACAACTGACATCCTTCACAGGCAGACTAATGGCATTGTGTCTTCTTGAGGATTTCATTAAATAGTCCGTTCTAAAAATGTTAAGTCCTGCAGTGACTTGGCCCATGAGTGCTTGCTCCAGCCCCTGCAGCATCTCTGTGGCCTCCTCTGGACTTGCTCCAAGAGCTCCACCTCCCTCTTGTGCTGTTTCCCCAGGGCTGGGCCAGGACTGGGGGGGGGGGGGGGGTGTGGGGTGTGTGTGTCTCCCCAGAGCACAGCAGGGGGAGGAGAATCCCCTCCTCAACTGCAGCTCAGGCTGTGGGGATGCAGCCCAGCACACAAAGGGGTTCTGGGCTTCAGCGACTCACCACCCAACACCCCCAAGTCCTTCTCCTCAGGTCTGCTCTCAGTCGGTTCTCCCCCCCAGCCTGTATTTGTGCTTTGGATTGCCTCGACCAGATGCAGCGTCTTTCACTTGGCCTGGTTGAATGTCATGAGGTTTGCATATTCTATACAATTACATCAAAGCTAAGTTTGTTATTTAGGCAGTGTAGTTCTAAAATGGCGAAACGGTAAGCGAATGTCCTCTTTGCCCCCTTCAGTGTTTTTGTGTGGATACCTGAAAAGCAATCCTGCTCATGTTCTGGCAGCCACAGCAAGATTTTATGCATATTTCCCTTAAATAGGAGGGTTGTGAGTATAGTTACCGTCATTATTTGACTGTAAAATTTTTACTCCAGGAGGGCATAGTACACTAATAAATGTAGTGTCCTCCTGAATATGCATTTTAATAATAAGAGATCTTTTACTTCTGAGAAGTATAAAAGCAAAGTCATCCCAGGCGGCATATGGGATTTTAAAAGCAATAGGGAGAAAAAAGGAGTATGGGAGTAGAAGCAAACCTGAGTAAATTATCTCAAACTTACATTTTTGAAGGAGATGTTGGTATGTCACAAAAGCTTTATTCTGAAGTGGAATTTTCTCCAAAATAAGTGAGAACAGACTAAGTATAAATACAGCATAGCACATACTGCGCTGATGTTGTCTTCTTGTTTTTCTGTTCTGCTGTTTTTATACTGTTTTTAAATGAAATATTCTTCCGTAGATGGTGTCAGTTAATGCTGAATTAGGCTTCTAAGGTAAAAAAAAAAGAAACAAAACCAAACTGCTGCCTGTGACTGGAAGATGGAAACAGAGTTGCTCTTTTGTCATTTGTCAGGCTTTGTATTTTTTCCTTCTGCCTGGTTCAAACAGGAAACATACAGCTTCTCCCTTTCTCTATGCAGCAGCAGGTTAGACTCTCCTAAGGAAAACCTGTGGGCTTCTGTCGTAGTGCTGCAGAGCAGCCGAGCTTGACTTCCTAGAAGAGGCTATCATGCTCTATGTGGAACCCGTGTTGGAGAGACACACATTTGCATGATAATTGCATGATGATTACTCCACTCACCAATGTGTCAGCATGGTGGCAAGTTGCCAAACTGTGTCTCCTCGGGTGGACTTTCATCTGTCTTGCCACATTCTTTACCATTTGACAAAAACTAACAAGAAAAAGAATCAATTTCTTATTTTATGTTCTCCCCTCTATAACAGTAAAAACTCAGCAAGGTGCAGTTGCACCATTCTTTCACTGTCTTATATTTTACAGTGCAGTAGTATGTCACGTTCAGGGTTTTTTCCCAAAACTTGAGATGTTTAATATGTCTTTAACTGTTTGTTATTCAGGACGGTGATGAGTTGTCTCCGATTTTAACAAATTCTGAGATTGTTAAGATTCCAGATCCCCAGATGTCAATGGTAAGTATGCTCCATGTAATGCAATCTGTATTGTAATACTTTGCTAGTTTCAAAAACTTGCCTATATTGCTGTCTTCAAGTATTTTAAAACTCCAGTGGAAAGATGTATTTGGCAAGTTGAGAAATATCAGTGAGTTTGACTTTTTTCTATTTAATTTTTTTTTCTGCTGCTGCTACATTAAAATACAAGAATTGATTAAATGCTTGTGTTCATCTTCTCCTTCCAATACCTAATGTGCTTGCTTCTGAGGAAAGCAGAGAAGGAGGATTGTTGGCAAAAGAGGGTGGGAATATAGGGAGCTGAAAAAAAGGAACTTAGAGGATGGTGTAGTAAGTCATGGTCACTTTTGTCTGTTAAAATATTTTCTCCCTATACTCTCTTGTATGTTGTCTTTCGTGTAGACAGTGCCTAAGTACAGTTCTAGAAAAGATTTCCATTATTGTGGATGCCAATTCAGTGGGACTGGTATTGGCAGCTTTGGGAACCTTAATGTAAGTGGGCTTCTACTGGCAACACTGTTTGAGCACTGTGTAATCTAACACTGCAAGAGCAAGTCTGACAATGCTGAAAACTGCCTTGGCTGCTGAAGTCTCGTTGGCACTGTGGCTCCTCTTGTGGCTCCTACTGTTGCTAACATGGTATTAACAGTGGGAAAACTTTTTGAGCCGTTTTTCTTGCATACAAAGCTTTATATTGCAAACATCCTAAAAAATGTCAGTGGCTAGCAGGTTTGAGTGCTGTTGAAATCATAGATGTGTTGACTGAAATGCTTAAATTTTGCAGCAGTTCTCCAAAAGACAAGATAAGGTTTGTAAATTGTGTGAAGTAAAAAAAAAAACCAACCCAAACCAAAAACCTCAAAATCCCCAACAACCCTTCACATGTTATTGAAGCAGTTTCTTCTAAAACAGCAACAAAACAAAAAATCCAGAAGACTCTGTAGTTTTACGTGTGTATTTTAATTGCTGTGCATTATTCAAGATACGGGTGAATCTTTGCTAGCTGGTTTTATTTCAGTACTGATTTTCCTCTGGAGTTTAAGTTGTTATAAACACTGACTTACCTTCTGCATTTAGGAGAACTTAGTAGAAAGCAAACATCACAAGCTTGCTCGAAGTTTAAGAAGTGGACCTTCTGATCATGATCTGAAGCCTAATGCAGCTACACGAGATCAGCTCAATGTAAGTCATGTGATGGCTAAATTGAGTTTCATTAGGTAGATTGGTATTAATTTATGATGGGAATTTAAGAAAAATACAGTCTGTTTCTGTTGATGGAAAGTTATTAATGAAGAAATGTTAAGTGCATCTTAAAAGTAATTAGATGGATCCAGCTCAAAAAGGAGCAGAAAGTAATTGCTCATTTTTGTGGAAAACATTTTAGGGGGCATAAGAATGCTTATTGTGCACATATCATGTAAGTGTTAATGGTCTTAGAGTAACTGTATTTGCCTACACTGCCCGTTTAATCAGCTACACAACTGAGGAGCATCACCGTGGTAGCATGCAGACATTGTGTTGTTGGAAAGCTTTTTTTCTCCCCAATTATTTTTGTGTGATTTCAGTGCTGTGCTTTGTCACTGTGTAATCTTTTAGCTTGTTAATTGTATCTGTTCATGTTTTCACACTGACTTTCTGACTATGTGCCTAATAGATCATAGTGAGTTATCCACCAACAAAGCAGCTAACGTATGAGGAACAGGATCTAGTTTGGAAATTCAGATATTACCTTACTAATCAGGAAAAGGTAAGTTGAATGATTTAAGAGGACTTATTAATGCAAGAGGGGCTTCATCTGGCACTCACTACAATGATCTGTCCATGCAGATATACAGAGCTTCAGTGTCTTAGAAACTAATCAAGATTATTTTAACAACTTCTACCACGTTAACAATTTAAAAATTAGTGCATTTTCCCTCATAAATAATGTAAACTGGCTATTACTACGGGGGTCTTTATACAAAACACCATCAGCTCAAAATACCAGTGTTGCCAATTTTGTCTTCAGCAAAAAAAAACCAAACAACAAAACCTTAGAGGAGCTTCTTCATCCCTTTTGGACAAGGATTAGTGTGACCAGAATAAGTAGCAGCACACCAAAAGACCAAAGTAAACTGCATAACTGATGATCTCCCAGCAGTGGGCACTTTTGATGTAGTGGTAATTGTGGTAGGGTAGTATCCATTGTGTTTACATTTTAGTTAGGAGATAGCTCACCTGCAGTGTTTTGGGGCATATTACAACGATCCAATATTGTATTGTCACTTACATCAGTAAGGTTCCCTAGGGCTGTGCTTTTATGTAAGCATAATCTGAATCTAGTTCTTAATGTGAAACATTAATTTCTGAAATTGGCTCTTTACCCTGGCTTTTTCACTGATGAATTCTCCAATCTTTTCCTGCTTAGGCTTTGACAAAGTTCTTAAAATGTGTCAATTGGGACCTACCACAAGAAGCAAAGCAAGCACTGGAGCTGCTGGGCAAATGGAAGCCCATGGATGTGGAAGACTCTCTAGAACTTCTGTCATCTCACTTCTCCAATCCAACAGTTCGGCGCTATGCTGTCGCCAGGCTTCAGCAGGCTGATGATGAGGTACTCATTGGTCTGTTGGTACATGTGAAAGTCAGGTGGTCTCAGGATTTTTGGTCTCACTGAGTACTTGAAATATTTGCTACTTTTTTAAGGCCTTGAAGTGAATGATAATGATTTAAAAATGAAAAAAAAAAAAAAATCACTGTGATGCTATTTGCTGTAAGCTTTTTATGGAGCAAAGTCTTCACATTATTAAGTGGCACTCATTGATAATTGTCTTAGTGTGAACAGCAAGTGATATCTGGGTTAGTCAGACAAGGTGAAACAGCCATATGTTCTCCCCAGAAACAAGTGATAAATTTTGAATATTAACCTGCATAGAAGAGCTTTGAACTCAAATAGTCTACTAAAAGATTTCCAACAAATCCACCTGGTAAATTGAAGCAGTATATCATCATACTTTTCTAGCTGAAGGAAGTGAGTGGAAAAGCATCTGTAGAAATAAGGTGTTTCTAATTGTATACTGATTAGAATATGATGAGCTGTGATTTTTAAGTGAAGCCCACTTAATAGGTGCTAATCTATTGAATTTTAATTACCTATATAGTTCATTTTCTTTTGACAATAGGAAAAAAGTACTCTGAATATATTACTGTAACTGTTCAATCCTTGGCAATCAACAGAGTTTAAAATAGGGAGCATAAGAGTATAGAATTTTTGCAAGGCCACTTCAGTAGCCAAGATCATACTGCTTTGAGTTTAAAAATGTACCTTTTATGAAACTTTTGATGGCAACTTATCAGCAAGTTGAATAGTAGAAGGAGCAAATTTATTTCATTTATTTAAAGGTTTATTTTTGGCTGCTGGAAGCAAGTAGGGCACCTTAACTAAAGAGAACATTATAGGTCATAATTGCACCTAAATATTTACTTAATAGCATGTACTACATAACACAAAATATTTTTGAGTAACACAAAAATAGTAGTGTGATAGTTCAGTATCTTTTTGGGAGCCAAACACCATCCTATGCCAGTTTTTCTACTGTATATTTCTTGCTAGGAAGACCCTAATTTCTGTTTCTTTATAGGTCATTAAATCCTGACTTAAGTTTTTCTGTAAGTTTTGAAAACATACAGAGTCAAAGTCTGCTTTGACTGACCCCCTCAAATAATTCTCTTTTTTTTATCTCCATGAGGATTTGCTGATGTACCTGCTGCAGCTAGTACAGGCACTGAAATATGAGAACTTTGATGACATAAAGAATGGACTGGAACCTAGCAAAAGGGATAGTCAAGGTTCAGTGTCAGAAAGCATGACAACATCTGGAACTAATGGTGCAGAAATAGACAGGTAAGAAACTTAGATTTCCAATAGAATAGCAGAAACATGTTACATTGTAAGTACTCAAGATCTTTCTTCTTTTTAGAGATCATTGCATATTCAGCATCCTATTTTGTAATCTGAAGTGGTGACAAAAAATTAACCCTTCAGATTTCACAGAATGTATTTCCTGGCTACATATAGTTTACAGAGCAAACATTCTTAATCTTGAAGTTGTAGCACTTGACATTCCTGCACAAAGGAGACAATTTCTGGAGACCAGGAAAAACACTGGCATTGCTTCCTTCTGTCCTTGAAAAAGCTAGGATGTCTTGAATGAAATTGTATGAGGCTCCACTTCCTACTTTTATTAAAGAATATGGATCTAAAAATCTCATCAGTCTAATATGGAAAGACTTTCCTGCTCCTGCAAAAGGTGTAGGGAGTGTCCTGTGACCCTGAAGAAGCTTGGGAGCATAGTCTTTATTCTTGCAGGAACCCAAAAGAAAGGCTGAAATATCTAATTAATATAGTATTAAGGTGCAGACTTGGTTAACCAAAGTCTCCTGTGAATATTTAATAAAAGTTTCCAGGATTTGTGTTTTTAAGCCTTAGTGTACAATCATTTGTATCACTAGGGTATACTTTTTTTTACTACAAGTATACTGCTTTTCATTGATCTTGCTGCTAAGTTGTAGAGTGGGTGTCCTGGGATATATGGTGTATCTTGAGGCTGCAATCACACTTAGACATTAGTAGAGCTGTTTGATTACTTCCTTTCAGGTAAATTTACTGTCTGATAACTTTGCCTTGCAAGCACTGGGTTTGTCTACTCTATTATCTGTAATTGCATTCCAGAGACGAGTGCTTGCAGGTGTAGTGTATTAGCAATTTCATCTGAAGAACATTTAAGAAAAGCTTATCCTGAAAATGCCGATTTACTGAATTCCAATCTATGTCTGCTTATCTTTTATGGAAGATGAAACAAAATGCAAAGTTTGATGTAAGGTGAACATCCTTCACAACCATAAGCTTTGTAGCTATCCAGGCACAGATCTTTTTTTTGCTGTTTTCAGGAATTGCAGCTGTCAAAGTTGCTATTCATGCAGTTTGTTCTGAAAGAGGGTTGAGATAATACTTTCAAGTATACTTCCAGTTTCCTGAATTTAGTATGCTGTGGAAGTGAAATGCATTCCAAGCAAAAACTTTGAGTCATGCCAATTACGTTTTGCTTTGTGTAGTTCCCAGATAATGAGTCCTGTTCCACCTGTGTCCTCACCACCTCTAACTTCTAAGACAAAGGAGCTTGCAGACAATGAAAACCTTGATGTAAGTCAAGTGCTTTACCTTGTATTTTTGATACTTACTTAGTGACCTGGTACTAGATTTTGTTTGTGAATATTTAGATCTTTCTACTGCTGAGTACTTAAAAGTGCTCATAGAACACAAATGTAAACTAAATGCTAAGAAAATGCTACAAGCCATCTATTTACGTACATGATCACACTATCCAAAACTGAGGGACTGGTCACTGAATTCTTCACAAAATTACTCAGTACTCTCCTTTAAAGGATAAAATTACTGGAAAGTCTGTCACATGCTGATTAGACACTAACAATTGCATGTGTTTGAGGTGTTTTAAAGCAGCTTTTTTAATAGAAAACAGGTATCCAGAAGTTTTCATTTCTGCAGTTTGTTCTTTCTGTAGGCATATTCTTTCACATGGGTATCATCTTTATTGAACTTCAGTGAGGCACTGTGTTGATTTACATCTGCCAAGGATTATACTAAATTTATACCACAAGTAGAAAAGTAATAAGAATGCAACTGGAGGGTCTCAGTACTGCATAGAAGATAAACCTCAAATTGAGCATATCAGTAATGACACACTGATTTCTTGTTAGTTGGGATATTAAACATTGAAAAACAGCTAAATGCTATATATCCTCTACACAGCTTTTTCTTCACATTAAAATGCAGAATATCTTGAAGAGTTTTCTGGATGCAAAATGGGGTAGTAAATCCGTTCCAGGATTGAATCTTACAGCAAGGGATAATTGCACAGGAGGAAAGTGTAATATATTATAAAGAGAAACGTAACATTAAAAGTTTATTGTATACCTTTAACATGTTAATACCTATATTACTGCAATAGCAGACCTTTCTTATAGTGGTGTTGCTGGATTTGGAGTAATACTAAAACTAATAATGATTTAGATACTAGGTTGGATTGGATTCAGATTTTAGAAGGGAATGGATCTCTCAGAACTCACTGCATTTATTTTGGGTTTTATTCCTTAACTCTGTCACTCTCTGAAGTACTTAGATTTCTTTGTAACTAAATTTTACTTCTCTTAAATCTCTTCCAGCAAGACCTTTGCACTTTCTTGATATCACGGGCATGCAAAAATTCCACGTTGGCAAACTACTTGTACTGGTATGTTAGAAACTAGCCATACTATATGAATGTCTAACTGAAATCAAAGGTGTGATGCACAGCAAAACATGACCTGTCTTGAGAATCTGAGAATCTCAATTTCTCTCAGGATGAAGTAGTAGATTTAAAATAATATGCATTTGAAGAGAATAGTTAGTAAAAGGAGGGTTCTGTTTTTTTAAAATGCACAAGTAATCTGTACTCTTAGGCAGAGGAAGGGGATTTATAGTGCATTAAGTGCAGCGTCATATAAAAAAAACAGTTGTAGTTTGTAAGGTGTCATTGAAATTGCTTATGATGGCGGGGAAGAGATAAATTTCATCATCTGCTCTGCTTTTCTGTTTGGTTTGTGTTTATAGTTTTTGACAGTGTTGGCTAGAATATTGAAGTTATGCATTTTAGAGTATACGCAGTCAAGAGTGTATTTTATGGAGATTCATAAAGCACTAATTTTTTTCTGCTAATTATTTTTTTAGATTCCATTTCTGGTTATATTATGAGCACAAACAATATGTCATTGCAGATGTGTGCTTTCTTAAGGGAAACTTTAGATGCGCATAGTTCATCTAGATAGTGGACAGGTAAGATTACATAGCTAAGGATCTTGACTCACTTCGGTGGTTTCAGAGTTGAAGCAAGTGCCTAAATTAGTCATCAGCTTGCTTCCTGAGTAAGCATTTGCACATAGGGATTCTCTTTTGAAGGAAGCTGAGATGAAGAGAGTTGTACTCTGAAAGTGTGTTTTTATGTGTATATATTAATGTACAGACACGTATATACGCAACACATACTGCTATTTACTTGTATATACACATGTATTTTAGCATAGAGAGCTTAAGTTCAGCCATGTAAAAGGCACCAAAGTCAAAACGATTCTTACTTGTATCCTTTGTAGATGTATCTAATAATTAAAAATATTAATACATGTGACCATATCTTAGTCTGCTGTATTGGCTACATATAAGTTATGAATTGGGAATGGAGTATGGTATGCGATGTAAACCTACCAAACTATTTTTATAAAATTCTGAGAAGAATCCTAGCCTATCCTGAGAGTGATTATTTTTATAAATGTCTTAAGTTTTATTATTTTATTGCTTTTTTAGTAGCTTACATTTAAGATACTTAAGTGCACAACATTACTACAGTTCCTGAGTGTACTGCAGTGGCCAAATACAGTATTTGGCTTCAGAAAAAAGTCCTATTAAGTTGAAATGGTTAAAATAATTGCAGGATCAATTGATGTGGGTAGCCACCAAATGCTTGATCTAATCAAATATTCATCATTAAGATATTAAAATAAGTGTTAGCTTTTTTCTACCTCATTGATAGAAACTGTGCACTTACATTTCAGCAATGTCTTAGACATTCAGTCTACAGAAAGTTCAGACATCCAGAATTCTGAAGTTTCTGTCTTACGATTTAAAAAATAAGCAAACAAAAAAAAATACACAAAAAAACCAAACAAAGCCCAAACCAAACACCCCCCCCCCCCCCCAATCGAAAACGGAAGTCAATTTATTCTTTGTTTTCTTTCCAGACGTCTCAATTTCTCAGTGACAAAATACAAATGTCACAGCCACTGTTTGAGCTGTCGGAGCCATAAATCCTCTTGGCTGCTGATCAATTGCATGTTTCAACTTACCCAGACATGACACGCACCTAAAATAATTAGTGGAAAAAGTACAATAACCCTTGTAAATCAAACTTCCTGCTCAGTCCTTTGTCACTGCAAAGTTGTCCTATCCTTATACTTTAACAGTGGCTACAGAAGTCAGTGCTACTGCATTTTTCTGTCTCCTCTTCAGATATATGAGGCACCTGTCCAAGTTTGAAGCATTATTTTTACTCCTTGTTCCAAAATAGCTTTGAGAAACTGCCTAGGGCTTTTTAACAAATGAAGACGAAAGTGGCATGTTTCAGGGAAAACAGGAAGTAATGAATTACATTTTGATGCACAGACTTTGTAAATATGGGCTTACATACACATTACTGGAATCTAGTTCTCTCATTTTAGTGGGGGAATGGTGTATACCAGTATATTAGCAAAGAAGTAAACTTTAGTTACAGATTTTGTTGAGATAAAACTAATGGAATTACATATTCCTTGTTTTAATTTATGTAATGTATTTTGTAGTTATAAGTAAGATTAGTCAAATCTGATCAGGTGTGAATGGCAGATCTCTAGTCTAGTCCAGTAATTACTCAGTTGCAAAGAAATTCTGCACAGGTGCAGTAAAGAAAGGGTAATTCTGGCTGTCAGCATAAAGTCCAAGTGTGTTTGAATATGTAGAATTACTTTTAAATCCAAATGCAGTGTTTGAAAATTGACTGACTTGCTAATTTCTTCTTTTTTTTTAATAATGAAATCGTATGTTTTTACTGGGTAGTACTAGGAGGTGGGCTTAACAACAGAAAGACCTTCCATGCATAGCTGCTTTTAGCTTTTCAGTGCTGCAAGGAGAAATAACAAAAGGATTCAAAAAAACTGCTTGACATGTCATATTTGCAGTGTAACTGTCCCAAATTGTACCATTTAAATTTTGTACCTGGATCATTATTTTAGAAATCTTATTTTGCGATGTAGACTCTCAGAGCTGCTTCAGGACCAATACTGTCACTTCCACCATTGCTAATGGTAAAATAGGGAGCAGATAGAGTGAGATTCTTCTTGATTTTGCAGCCACATTATGTAGAGGGTAGTAGCACAATGCAGTGCCTGTTCTTCCAACCAGCTGCTTGGTTAGAATGTTCATATGATTTGGACTTCTGACATGTTGTGTTTGAGTGATGCTACCTTACTGTAGGTGAAAAATCTCAGAAACCTTGATAAGCTCTCCTGAGCCAAGTGGGAGTTTGTGACTATGCAATTAGCAAGTTCATCTGCCGGTTGAGGTATCATTCAAAGATCAACTTTTTAGTTCCAGGCCTATAAAACAGGACTGCTGTATTTTACTCAAATTGCACCAGAATACAGCATAACTTGGGTTGTTTTTATGCTGCAGGTATGTAATAGTGGAGTGTGAAGACCAAGATACTCAGCAGAGGGACCCAAAGACACATGAAATGTACTTAAATGTGATGAGAAGATTTAGTCAGGCTTTGCTGAAGGTAATGGCTTTGTGTAAGGAAATACACAGCAGTTTGGGATAATCATTCTTTAAAAAAGCATAGGTGTCTAGGAGCATGGCTGGATTTTAAATCATAGGTATTGAAATTTTGAAACGGCTTCCACTTCTGTTTGAATTTTGAGTTTGTGGGTTTTTTTGTAAATCGAACTACTGAAAAAAGAAACTTAGCACGCATTGAGAACTTTCATCTGTTTTATTACCTGATTCTGTTAGTAAATCCTCTGCATTGTGTAATTAGCCTATTTATTTGCTATTTCTTTATTGGAAGCACTTGGCCTTGCAGTGAAAATTGAGACAAATTGAGACCTTACTTTGTAACTCACAGTGTTGTTCTGTGTATTGGCAGCAGAGGGTGCCGGAGCAGCAGGGAATATAAAACGAAACAAAACCAAGAACCTTTGGTGAATTGCAAGCTGTAATTTATAGCAGATGTGCAGTCTTTCCTGATTTTTGTGTATCTCACACTTCATGTGAATTCTGATTTTAGGAACATTACTCAAATCTTTCTCTTATACCACAGTAAGAATATTCCATGTGCTTATCCTTCCCAACTTTATTTTGGCTATGTGAATAAGGTTTGTAATGCATGACTGTTCACCACTGAAATTGTTGATGCAAATTGAAGTGTCCTTGTAGGTCAGATAACTGATTGCTAGCTACAGTGATTCTGATTGTGCTTTACAGAAAATCCCTTTTGAATTGACAGGAAATTGATCATTATTCATTTACCTCTTAAAAGCCCAAAGGTCTAAGGATAAAGGAATAATTTCTAGATAAAATAATGACAGAACAAAGAACTAATTTTGTTTCTTTTAATTCACTTAGGGTGATAAGTCTGTCAGAGTTATGCGTTCGCTATTGGCAGCCCAGCAGACATTTGTGGATCGGCTAGTTCATGTAATGAAAGCAGTGCAGCGTGAAAGTGGAAATCGTAAGAAAAAGGTAACTATAGGAGTTCAAAACTTATCTCTGTCTAGAATTTGACAATAGGAATGTTAGCTTTTCACTAAAAATTCTTAGCACCAAGATTTGTAAGAGATGTCTATCTTGTAATAATTTCAGCTAACTTTAAACAGACTTTGTAGAGATTTAAATAGGTTAAAGTTCTAAAGTGTTCTGAAAGTTTGTACATGTGAAACAGAAGAACCCTTGGGAAAGTCTGAGATAATCTGGCAAAAGGAAGATAAGATAAAAAGTTAAATTGTTGATGATGTAACAGTGAACAAGTTATAGGAGACACGGGAAGGTAGCAGAGGTTAATGTGATGTGAGTATTATGCCAGGACAGATAATGAAATTTGTCGAGCAGCAAGATTTCATTTGTTCCAGGAGCAACAAAACTACTTTTGCTATTAGGAATATGATTAGCAGAATTTTGCCTTCTGTTGGATCTTGATGAAAAGGATTTCTAGTGCATTTTAAATGAATTTGACAGATGAATATAGGGAAGAAGCAGGAACACCAGCGGGATTTCTATTAACATATTTTCTTCTGACACACATCAATACTTTTAAACACAGATTTTTTTTCAATGTAATTAATTTTGTGACCTTCTTTCTTTAAACCTGTGGGGTATATTTGTGCAGGAAAATGAAGCACCTAAGCATTGCATCTTTTTGATGAAATTTTGTGAATGCTGTATGTGTAAGTAATAAAGTTCTAATGACTAAAAGAGGAGGAGGAATTTTCAGTTTGTAAGAAAATTCCCTGCTTTTGCAACATTGGTAGCATTCTGTCATCTATTCTTTTGTAATTGTTAGGATATTTCTGTAAAACCAAGAAACACATGGTAAGCTTTTTTGGGGTTTGGGGTTTTTTGTTTGTTTGTTTGTTTGGGTTTTTTTTGTAAATCTAGCTAGCAGTAATTGATCACTAGAACTGTTCTTAACAGTAGAAGACTACCTTGCTGCCCAGTTAGGCCTGTTATATTCAGTAGGGGAAAAGACTAGAGACTTAAATGAATTTGGCCTTTATTGTGTGGGACACCAAGGGTAAAGTACTTGAAAATTGTATTTCTGGTAACTACAGGTACAGGAATATAAGGCAAGCCCTGAAATCAGATCTGTGCAAGCTGTTAGCTGTTTGGTTTATTGGTGGTAAGGGATCACCAACAAACATGAGTTCAGGGATTTAAAGGATCAGACCTGAATCAGATTTTTGAAGAAGAGCTCATGTTTGATGCTGGTATGGAAACCAAATCATCCTACTACTTATGCAGGCAGTTTAGAAACAAGTTTTTGTAAGACTGTTATATCTGGCACTTGTAAAATTGTTTGACTGTACTCAGAATAGCTGGGTTATCTGTTTCCTTATTCAGATTACTGCACACAGAGAATTTTTATTTCACTGGATTTTAAGAATGAAACTTTGATTCTTCAGAAGATTAAAGAATGAGATAAATTGAATAATCATAAGGCATCTTTTGTTAAAATAATTTTAAACTATTCATATATACCTGGTAGGTGATTTTGCTTTGGTTTGGATTTTGTTTGTTTGTTAAAAAACACCAAGTTTTCATTCTTTTATTCTCTTAGAATGAGAGGCTTCAGGCATTGTTAGCAGATAATGAAAAGATGAATTTAGCAGATATGGAACTTATTCCACTCCCTCTGGAACCTCAGGTGAAAATTAAAGGAATAATCCCTGAAAAAGCTACACTCTTCAAGGTAAATGAGAACTGAATATCTGAAATGTAAACAAATCTTAAGAGTGCTAAATTTAGAAACATCAGTTGAAAGATTTAAAGGGGCTCACATAGGGCAGAATGTAACTGTAATGTGTTCTTGAAGTGGCTAAACAGCTTTTTATTTTCTCTGTGAAACTCTTTTTTTCTAGTTAATGTGCAGACTTTAGAGGCACTTTTATAGGACTGATACCATTTATGAAGTCCCTCAGCTTAAGTCATGCTTCCTGGTTCAGAGCTTTATATGGGAACAGAAACGGGAATACCACTTATGATCAAAATCCTGTTCAACCTGGCCTTGAATATGTCTTCTGCCACAATGTAGAAAATTATAGGATTATTTAAACAATAGTTTTTCCTTTTTTTTATGCAACTTAATTTTGAAGCAGTTGTTTCATGTAAAAATCTAATGTAACTGCTCGAATATTGAGCCTTGTATCCTGGATTATTTTTTTTGCTTTGGTTTTGTGGGAAGTGACTTGGTCAGTTTGAATAGATGAAATCATTCATGTAGGTAATTGATCCCTTTGAACCCATTTTATGCAAAGAAATTGCAAACAAATCAGCTTTCTCAAACAACAATATAAAAAGGCATTTTTGCTTTTACTAAATAGATTAAGGAAGAAATTAATTGTTTAAGATGTCTTGCTCCTAGCATTTCATTGGTTTAGTTTATCCCATAATTGTGTCTCTTTTCGATCTGGTCAGTTTAAATTTGTTTTGTGGTGACCTTTTGCATAGTGTTTTGACTGGAATTACATGCGTACGAATAAAAGTTGAATACTTGTGTCCATTTTTGCTACGCAGGGGGGATGTGTCCTACACACTCCTTGCTGAAAAAGACAGCCTTAAAGTGTTTTTTAAAAAAACATGACTAGATCCCACTTGCTCTGACTGGAAATGGTTTGTTCTAATTGTTGCTTCCTAGACAGTGACTAACTGATTTTAGAAGCTTTGGAACTGCTTCTTTTGTACCAAACTGAAGAACTTGGAGAGTTCTCTTGCTTGCTACCACACTGTTGCTGTTCAAATTAGACTATTATAAACCTCTTGGTAACTGAATTTGATACTTGCTTAATTCACTTCAGATCTAATGCAGTAAACAAAGATTTGTATTTCAGAACTCCATTGTAGCAACACGTTAGTAGGAACATTGCTGTGATCCAGCTTAGTAGCATAAGTTTCCTTTTCCAGAGTGCCTTAATGCCTGCTCAGTTGTTCTTCAAGACAGAAGATGGAGGCAAATATCCTGTAATTTTTAAGCATGGTGATGATTTACGTCAAGATCAACTTATTCTTCAAATTATTTCACTCATGGATAAGGTGAGAATTACTAACCCATATCCTTGTGCTGCTTTGTTCTTGATTTCATTTGTCAAGAGCAAAACTGTTAAAAACTGCTACTGCAGCTTATATTGCTAATACATTCCAGAATTCTTAGATCTCGGGTGGCTTTTTATTTTCTTTATACATGCAATCCTGTGTAGCTAAAAAACAAAACAAAACAAAAAAAAAAAAAAAAAAACCCAAAACAAACAAAAAACCAAATCACAAATAAAACCCCCAAACATGTCAAGCAGTCTTTTTACTAATTTCAGTGGAGAACAGTGGAGATCAATACTGACTGCATTCTTTTAGAAATAGAAGTTGCCTTTCTGTTGCATTCATCATTTGCTTATGTGTGTTGGGGCTTTTTTTTCTAGCTGTTAAGAAAAGAGAATCTGGATTTGAAGCTGACACCCTATAAAGTGCTGGCAACTAGTACAAAACACGGTATGGATACTTCTGTTTCCTGTTTCCTAGTATGGGGAGGAATCTTATCCTTTTATTCATAGGCTGTATTGTGACACATGGTTTTCATAAGGTAGGTTGAATGGAAGTTTGTATTAGTGTTGTGTTTTAATAAACATGTTACAGAGTAGCCTGAAAGTTCTGTGGTTTGGAAAGCTTATTTTCCTGGTTGCTTTCTGTCACAGGCTTCATGCAGTTTATTCAGTCAGTACCAGTTGCAGAAGTTCTTGCTACTGAGGAAAGTATACAGGTATGTGATGGGGGATTTTTTTAAGTCATCTTCTGATCAAACAGTATAAATTGCAGGCGTAGGTTGTTGTGGTGTCAGTACTGTGCCAGGATAGATACTGAAATTTGACTGGCAGCAAGATTTCATTTGTTTCAAGAACAAAACTACTTTTGCTATAAGGGTTATGATTAGCAGACAGCAATTATTGTTGGAGAATCATTAATCTAAATAGACAAGACGGCAAACAAATGTGGTCTAAGATTACTTCACAGATCAATGTCAAAATACATTATACAGCCCAGATTTCCTATGCCAACACACGATAAAATAACTGGGCACTGGAGGCCAAGGAAATAAAATCTAAATGGACATGTTTAGGTGTTACGAAAGTTTGGTGTGTTTATTTATATTTTTTTTGAATGTTCATTTTGGCTGTCACCTATTTTATTAAAGATGAGCACTGTATATAAATATGAAAACATGGTTCAGTTCTGAGAAGTTTTAAAGCAAGTAATCCAGTACTGGTGGGTTTCTTCTGAGTATTGAAGAAGGACTGTTTTGGCAGTGCCTGTGTTTCATAGGAAATGAGATGTTTCCATTTGATGATTTAGATTTGCCTTTTAATCTCAGTAAAAGTTGATTGTCTTGAGGAACACGAAGACATACGGTGATGATAAACTTTGTGAGAGTGTATGTCCCACATGTAGTTACTAATCTGGACTGTTGGTCTTGGCCTAAATATTTCCCGTGGAAGTAACTCGTAGTTAGTAATTAGTAACTTTTCAGTGCATTGTTAATTTTCTGAAGCTGTTACTAAATAAAACTGCATTTTCTTTTAAACTTCAGTTTTGTTTCTGTTGAGTATAAGAATGTGATGATTAAGAAAATAAATAAAGCAGTATAAAATTAAATTTGTTTACTAGTTTTTGGGGTACTGGTTGTAATTTAAGTGATCTTAATAAGGGACGCTTGTGGTCTTGTTTTAGCGCTGGTTTTTCCCCTACCTAACAATCCTGTTTCAAATCATGTAGAATAACTAAATTTGTTGATAATTTCCTCTCCAGAACTTCTTCAGAAAGCATGCACCCAGTGATACTGGTCCTCATGGAATAAGTGCAGAAGTGATGGACACATATGTGAAGAGCTGTGGTAAGTTACAGTCTTCGAGTTGGTAACTTCTTATCTGAAGTATAAAGGACAGGTAGTAGGACATTCTAGTTTAGCTCACTCAGGTAAGGGACTGTACATGTACTTGCGCTCAGAATCCCTGTGAAGGGAATAGTTTTGAGGCCAGCATGTCATGTACAGTTCCTCTCCTTAGCCCTCTTTGTTCTCCTTAAAGGAAACGAGAAGTTAAATATTCTTTGCTTTCTTGCAATAATCTTACTTCTGCCACCTCTGCATCATGAGTTGGGGCCTTTACAATTCAGCTAGATAAAAAACATTTATATAACAATCAATCATCTGTATTTGGGGCAGAAAAATTTAATCTGTTTTTAAAACGACAGGGATTTGTGAGTGATCAGGATACATTCAAATTCCTGTTCTGTTTGGATTACAAGAAGTGGTAGTGTAGTCCTTGTTTAGTAAACTGATGGCAGTGTTAAAATACCACTAGGTTACTGCTTAGCTTGTAAATAATATTGATACGTATGCATTCAGATTCATATCAATGTCAAATGCTTATTTACAGCTGCTTTAAAATACCTTCAATTCAAAAGGTGTATATTCATTTTGCTCAAAATACTTGATCTTCATTTGAAGTGTCTTAATTCCAATATTGAATGAATTCAGGATTTTAGTGTTAGGCAAATAATTGTGCAGCAAGAAATCAGAATTTAGGCAGTACTGAATAAACTTAAAGTTTTAATTTATTACTTTAAATGTGTTCATCGTGCTGATAATCGTAATCATTCTTCACCAGCACCACCCCTGCGCTCACTCTCTGTGTTATATTTATTACTAGTGAACAAGAACTAAGATAATGTCATATGTTGTTAATTGTGTGGAACTTGTTGCTCTCCTTGAAAGGTACTTATATTGCTGTTTACAATTTACTTGTTACAGCTGGTTATTGTGTGATTACTTACATCCTTGGAGTTGGAGATAGACATCTGGATAATCTTTTGCTAACAAAAACAGGTAATTCTTTTAGCAGTATAATGTTATAACAGCAGTTGTTTAATTTCTAGTTTTGTTACTGTTTCGCTCCATTTTTCTTGGGTATAACCCACTGAGCATTGTAGATTGGAATTTATTTTAAATGTAAAGTGATCATGTCTCATCTAAAATGAATCAAGTGAATCAAAGTTTAGGTTTAAACTACTAGTAGTGTGAAGTGGCAGTTGAAGAACAATAAAGCAAGCAATTAGTTGCTCTCCAAACACATTAGTAGGCAAGATATGATACAATGTGTATCTGATATATAGTTTTGGTGTCAGTTTAAGAGACATTTATACAGCTGTAGGTAATGGAAACCTAACTTCACCTCAACACAGACATGTTTATAAGCACCGGGGGTTTTGTACCCTTTACACTTGATTTATTTTACAGTCCTGTGTTCTACTATCACATTTTTTACACTGAAAGCTGGACCTGTAAGATGTTTTTTGTTAAACTCAAGAGTGAGTGGTGCTACCTTTTTTTGGAAAGTGGTATGGCTGTAGAACAAGGAAAAATTGGACTGCCTTTGCCTGAGACCAAGAAACATTTCGCTGTTACCTTAAAGATGGCCAAAAGCTCATGTACTTCCAACCCCTGCCACAGACAGGGGCACCTTCCACTAGACCAGGTTGCTTCAAGCCTCATCCAGCCTTGCCTTGAACACTGCCAGGGATGGGGCAACCGCATTGTAGTTATCAGGTATTAAGAATATAGGTATGGGGAATTAGGAATCAGGTGTAATATTGATGAATTAACTGTGATGTCCATGTGAACTCTTGGCTCAGATTTGACTTTCTTTTAAAGAGATTGGTTATGTGAGCTTTCCAGGTCTGTATGTCAGAATGCCACATGAGACCTGTCAGAGTAGGATTCACTGCAGCATTTTCTTTGCCCTATGAATCTTGATTCTTGATGAAACCAAACCAGTGTTCAACAAAAAAACCCATGTGTTTCATCATCAGCCTAACTGAGCTAATTGGACAATTCAGCTTAATTGAGATTATATATTTTTGGAAGCCTTCTCTAAAAACAAAGAAGGAGAAAGATTCTTTAGTGTCCTGCTCATTGCAAATTCACAGCTGGAGGAGAAGAATTTGTAGAAGTTACTGTTTAATCAATTACATCCTTTAATTTGCAGCAAAACCTGTATCTTGAAAATTCAAAATAGCAGATAGGCATTTTGATTCTTCCTAAATTGTTTTAGCTTTTTAAATGTTATCTTTCATTGGCATCTGTATGAATTAATAACATGCTAGGTAGAGTGAATAATTCTAGTGATTCCAAATAAATAGAAGATTTCTTTACTAGAGGAAATGAAGGACTTGAAAAGCTACTTCAATTGTTACAATCAGTGCCTTGGGGTGGAGGGAAATTCAAGTGCTTTTGTGAAGAAACTCATGCAGCTACATGCAAACTAATTTTCAATGGAGTTTTAACATCAACAACAAAAACCCACACAAAAAAAAAAAAAAAAAACAACACAATTTCTTGTAGGGGAAAAGTTTTTGGAGTTTGTTTTGGTTGGTTGGTTTGGGTTTTTGTTTTGCTTGCTTGCTTGCTTTTGAACTGCAGCTTCCCATAGGAGTTCTAATGCCTTGAATGCCTTCATTACATAGTGACAAAGAGTTATGAGTTGTGGTTAAGGGTTTATAATAAAGTGAAATGTTTGTTGAATGAAAAACATGTAAATAAAAAATGTTATTTGGGGAAAAGCAACGCATCCAAGTGGGAAAGCTTGTTAGTTTACAGATTAGTCTGAAGCATATGTTACTTTGCATCAGCATACAGAGTATGATAGAGTAGAAAATTAACCTTTTTTAAACTCAAAGGTTTTGTTCTAAGCACCAGAGAACAACTGAAGCCAAGTGGGTTTTTTCCTTATCTGCTTGGAAGTGCACAAATGGGCATTTTAAAATCTATGTTGAGAGATCTCTGTCATATGTCTAAGGTGATGGGCATAAATCTTCCCATAGCAGGCACTGCTTGCATGCTCAGTAGTAGTATTTTAGGGTTTTGATTGGGGAAAAAGTGCATCTCACGTATATTAAAAAGTATCAACACAATGGCTGTTTGGCTTAGCAGAAGAATTTAATCAGTACAGCAGAGGGCAGTGCACACTCACGGTACATCCTGAGTCTGAAGTTGTTTTTCTGTTTCCTGTGCTCTTGTCACATGCTGTGGGAGGTTTTCTGAGCTATCTAGAAAAAGTGTTTTGTTCCAAATACAGCAGAGGCTTGCTACAAAGCCTCTTGCTTGTTTCTTGTTATTGACAGTCCCTTAGACTTAAGTTGGAAAAAGCTGACTTCATTCTTCTCTTAAAGAATGGAAGCTTTAAGTGTCTTCAAAAACATATGATCACATATGCATCCTGTCTGATGGTATTTAACAAATTGAAGCTTTCTGACAAGCTAAAGAATGCTGAATACCAGCTGCGCTTTCACATTATTGAATGTCAATAGCAATGTACTTTTTGGCTCTACCTTTTAGTTTGATGGATGTAAGCTGCACCTGTGTTAGACTCCTTCCAATGAAATGGATGCATCATCTTGTACAGATGTATGTGTTTTTGTAATTGATATGGTATATTTAAATGTTAAGTAATTGATACTGCATTTCATAAAAACAAATCATTTCCTACTCAGTGTTGGAAATGTATCTTTTGGATTATGGAATTAGTATGTCTGTTATTTGGGTGAAATAATTTGTTGTCTTTGTGACTGTTTTATGCCTATAGTTCTAAAAACAGGTGACTTAAAGTAGTCTTAAACTAGATATCTAGATTTTCAGATTTCTAAATGCTGTTCTGTTATTCTTCAAGGGCAGCTGTAGAAGTTTATTTAGAAGGAGGTATAGGGAAGCTTCAGTCAGCACATCCTCATCTATCAGTAATGTTAAAAATTACAAGAATACTTACCTCAGTTTCACAAATGTGCCTTGGTTGTAACCTGAAAGTCACATTAGGTAGTCAGTATAGCATTAAAGGAATATTTATTCAACTGTCTGCTTCTCCTGGAGATGAAATGTGTTACCAATTGCTGTGTGTTTTAATTTCTTGTTTCCAAATCTGTAACGGCAGGTATTACTGTGACTTGTAAATAACAAGACATTGTTTTGCAGCTGAATACCCAGCTTTAAGTAACATCAGTGCCTCCTTGTAGGATTACAGACTGATTAATATATTAATGCCAGCATCTGAGTTGCCAGGTAATTTGCCCTTTCTTGCCTTGGAAGGAAGAGCTGGATGGTTGTGAAGCTGGATTGTGAGATGTAGCATGTTCAGATAACTTTCATGTAACATTTGTTATGCTAGTATGTTTCAATTCTGTCATGCCTTCCCTTGAAAACAATTTCTTCTGCATTTGCTTCACTCTCTTTTTGATTGTAGAGTTGGGATCTAGCTACTAATGTAATACCCAGAAATGGGTGTCTTCATGTTTGCTAAGCTTTTTAAAGTCTTAATGACAGTGAGCGCAGTTATCATTAAAGCTTTGTCTTTCAGCTATGACAGACAAGTCTCCTGTCCCATCTGAGATCTCTTAATAACTTCAACTTTCTTTGTAGGTTTCACAAAGGTCTTGTCATATTTGCAGGCTATACGTAGATACTGTAGACTACCCTAACATTCAAATGGTCTTACGGAGTAGCGCTGCATGTGTGTGTTTGACCAACTAACTCTCACCCTAGTGACTGGACAGCTCAATCTTTCAATACTCTGTAGGATCAACATGTAAATTCAAGTTCCTGTTATAGGTTCTCTAAATACAGGCACTTTGATTAGTGTACAAAACTGAACTGTACAATTGAAATTGCTGTGTAGCAGTAAAACAAATTGCTACGTGGATAAAGTAGATTATTAGTATCTGAGGGCAGGTCAAAGACTGAGGGCTCAGAACTTTGAAAAACACGTTTTCTTTTAGCAGTATGTGTAGATGGGTTAAAGAACTGGACTGTCTTCTTATTTAGTGTTTAGAGGTAGAGCTGTGATCTTTCTTCAGTATGAAGTGCAGCAATTGATGACTGATTTATTCGTCAGTCTCAGTTAGAAAGGGTTGCCTGTTAAGACAACAAAGGCCTGAACAGTTTCATATGCAAGATGACACCATGTGTTTTTAGTTTCAGTGCGTATCAGTTAAAATCACCTATGCCAAATCAGGTTTGGATATGACAAAAATGGAAAAACTAGGATTCAAACCTTCCTCTCTTTTAGTGCTTAGACAATAAAAGTATATATTGGTGTACTTAATGTTGCAAACTACTGTAGTATGGGAAATGCAGTGGCGTTTTAGAATTTCTTCTTACACATTACTGGTCTTGATAGAAGAAGATCTTTTTTTATAAAAAATAATGAAACTAACACATAATGTTATCCTTAAAATTTTTCTCTGTGACTCCAATTCCTCCAGTGCTTCCCAGAAAGGAACATAAACTTTCAGCTGTTAATCTGCTAAAGCATTTTCTTTTGTAGGTGTTTTGAACAGTATTTGTGATTTAACAATACATATCTGACATCTTTTTTTCTTACAATATGCCTGCATGGAGTATATTTCGATAATGGACAGCTTGAGGTGTGAGTCAGGGAGCAGATATTACAGCACTTACCACAGTCTTGGCCCTTATCCATTATATGGAGGACCATGAGGAACGTGGTTGCTGTGCACTGAGTTCAAACCAGTATCCTGAATAAACCCTTAACAAGTCATGCTGCTTTCTTCCATTTTTGTGTAGTCTTGGAAAAGCTATAATGTATACATGATGAAGATGATTACAGTAAATGCCTTGATAGCAAAGAAGAAATTCTGGCAGCAACATGAGGATTTTATAGAAAAGCCAGGAGAAACATACCCACCCACCCATCCATCCATCCATCCATCCATCCATCCATCCATCCATCCATATGCATCAGAGGAATTTTTATCCTATTGCTTCAAATTTAAAATAGGAATTCAGTTAATATAGTCATTAAATTGTACTTTTTATAT